CCCCAAAACCCCAAAACCCCAAAACCCCAAAACCCCAAAACCCCTAAATTAAATTATAAAATTGATAAATTTTCATTCATGGAGGATAAATCAAAAATTTCTAAAAAGTAAGTAACCTTTCACTTTAATAACACAATCTCAAATCTAATGTTCAAAAAGGTTAATCAAACCATTCTAATCCCTCTTCACACCCTTTAAACTCAAAACACACGACACCACCTCTCCTTCCCCTCTGCTAACCTCTTTAGTCCCCAAAAAGACGATCACCAAGCCCCACAAACATCCGCTCCAAAAACACCCCAAACCTCCCTTCCCACCCCCTCTACAGACCCTTCCTCCCCTTCCAAATCCCCTCCAGACCCCCTCTGCCCCCTCCACTCCAAACCAATAGAAGCCTTCTGCGAAGAAGACCACTCCCTCGTCTGCATAACCTGCATTCTCTCCCCCATTCACAAAGGAAAAACCTTCTCCTCCCTCCAAGACGCCACCAAGTCCCAAACAGCCCATATAAAAACCCAATACCAAAAATCCCTCCAGATCCTGACCTCCCTCCACAAGCAGAAGAAGGAAGCCACTCAAAAATACACTGGGCTTTTAGAAACCTGTTCTACCAAGAAGGATGAGATCATTGACTACTTCAACTCTTTAAGAGAAATTATTGATATTAAGGAACAGAAGTTATTGAAGGAAGTCAGTGAGAAGGAACAAGTGGTCAGTGAACAGTTTGGGAAGAAGATGAAGGCGATGGAGGAACAGGAGCAGAGGTTGGAGGAGATGAAGGGGTTGGTGGAGGATGGGGAGGATAGTATCAAATCGCAGATAGATTTTCTTAATGAATGAGAAGGTAGAAATGAGATTATTGAGAAAGCCAACAAACCGATTAATGCGATAAAATATCCTCAACCTCCCACTAGGTTCAGAGATGATAGGGAAACTGAAAGTATAATTAAAGAATTCAAGCAAAGGAAGAAGCCTGCTAAGAAAAGAACACCAGCTCCTAACAAAAATGCAAGTCAAACACCTTCAGTTAATAAGAATAAGCCAAAAGACCCTCCAAAGAATTTTTCTCAATCAATGAAAGTCCCCAAAAAGGTATCTCCAGAGAAATCAAGTGTAACAAAGTCACCCCAAATTCAGAAAAATCCAAGCATAAATAACAAAAGAAAATCTGAAGTAATCACAACAAAGAAGGCCCAGAATGAATCTAAACCAAGTGTGAAGCCATCTAAAAATCTAATTGAGGCCCGAAGAGATCCTCCTAAAGTTATCAAAGAGGCTCTCCAAAGACAATGAAAGTCTATAAATGAAGAACTCAACATCACCGATGATCTCAACGAGAGAGAAGAAGAAGAACTACTCCAAAATAACCAAAGAAACCTTCATAAGTTCTTAAGTTCCCGAGAGAAAGACTCCCAACCTTTGCCTCCAAAGGAGTTGTCTAAAAATGAAAGGCCTAAGCCTGAGCGCCCACCAAGACGAAACGTACAAATTTTCTCTTAACACTATAGATGCATAGCGAAAGTTTAAGTCAGAAAAAGGCCAGAGTCCCATCAGCAAGTAGAAAAATGTGGGACCGAAAACCAAGGAACCAAGATAGAACCAAAATGGCTGCTGAAAGGCCTCCATCAGGGTAAATTAAACCATATAATTCTTAGAAATGTCAAGGATACTCACTCTTCGTATAAATAAAAGAAGAGCGGTCAAAGAAGTTCATGACCAGGAACAAGGCGAGAACAGAGTTCAAGAAGAACCAGTTAATATTGACAGATTATCAGATCTCCGAAACCGAAGAAAAGCACAAAAACAAGGGAATAACGACCATCTTTCAGAAGAATTTAAAAATCAGATGAGTGAGCTAAACCAAGTCACATCAGATATTCTATCTCGTGAAACTTTCATGCCTAATTCTTTGCAAGAAAATGAATTTTGAAACCAGGATGTAAAGAATTTAGACGAAGAGAAACCTCCCCAAATGATGAGTCTGAGTGATTGGGGCTTGAAAGAAATTCTTCAAGAATCTGAAGACCAAGAGAAATTAAAAATCCCTATAAATTCTGCCTCTAAACAAGCATGTGAAAAGGTTAAGTCAGGGAGAAGACCCCATGCTCCTCTGAAGATAAAGAAGAAAGATATTAAAATGCACAAGTAATCTAAAATTGAGTTTTAGACCTTCAATTCACTTATTTAAAACAGGGGTTTTGGGGTTTTGGGGTTTTGGGGTTTTGGGG